CACACACACACACACACTACATACAATGGGACTTTTCCTACCAATAAAACTCCATGCGGTTTATATTGGGAAGACTTACAACCATAATTTGAGCTAATGACAGCGGTATCTTAAAACGCAATTCATCTTTATTACATAATATCGATTACGCAAAATGAAGAACCTAAATTGAATTTTACTTTCATTTCCCTGGCTTTCAAAATAATAAATGTAAATCATTGAATATATTATGCAGGTTATGTAAATTATTATATAGAGAAACATGAACACAGCTATTGAAATTATGAAAGAGCCAAACGAACCGCAGAGCCTCTTAGCCTCTTAAGCCTCGCTGAATCGACATTTGTTGCAAATTCGAAATTGAATATCTCGACACCTAAATATTCTAGCAGCAAATTTCAAAAACGGTTTGAAAGCTTTGAAACCGTACTTTTCGAAAGATCTATCGAAATTGTGCGCAACGATATTTTTTCAAAATGGCGGGTGATAAAAAGGAGAACATGAAAAGTTGCTAAAAAAAGATTCGAGCGTGCGACGGCGCATGGAGCAAAGTAAGTGTCGCAGCTCAATGGGACGAAAAGTACCTAAAAGTATACAATGTTTTCTTTAAAATACTTCGTTATAGAGCTTGATGCGATACTTATTCACTGAATTATGCAAATTTAACAAGAAAACCGCATTTTTAGCAAAATTTGGAACAACTCAGTGAAAAATGATCACATCGAGCTCGGTAAAGTAGCATTTTAAAGATAACACTCTATACTTTCATGTGCATTTGGTCCCATTACGCTGCGATACCTGATGCACACCATGCACCATCGCAAACACGGACCTTTGATTATCAATTTTGCATCCTCTCACTTTATCATCCGCCATTTTGAAAAAAATGGCCGAGCATAATTGCCATTCAGATATTCTTAAAGAGGACGTTTCAAGCTTCATTTTGCATTTCTGCGCATATTTGTATCTTCATTATTTACCAAGTTATGATCATTTGAAATTTTGTAATTTTTTCCCAAATTTTTAGTGTACCGGGTTTTTTGCGTTTGAGTGTAGATATATAATATATATTATATTATACAAAAGAAGTGATATATTAAAACAGTACCGCCAACTGAGAAATCGTATACTTAATATTTTTAGAAATCTGAAATTCAATTTATTTCCTTTTTTCAAGATATATATTATGTACATAACATAAGTTTTTACAAGTAAAAATGATACCATGTTATAAAAATTTAACACGTTTATTAATAGTGTCCAATATTTAAAAAAAGATATCTTTCTAAAGGTTATTATTATTTGTACATAACATAAGTTTTTACAAGTAAAAATGATATCGTGTTATAAAAATTTAACACATTTATTAATAGTGTCCAATATTTAAAAAAGATATCTTTTTAAAGTTTTTAAAGTTTAAAGTTTTTAATGTTTAAAGTTTTTAAAGTTATTATTCAAGAAAATTCAAGAAAAACTAACTACAAAAGATGACAATAACATAAATTTTTACAAAATTTATCATTATTTATTAGAACACTGAGTTATATGATACTATATATTGGGTTGTCACGGTTATTATTATTTTTAACAATAACAGCAATGCAAGTAACGCGCGTTAACTTATTAACTTTATATTAAATAAAAAAAAAATTTAATCCAAACATACAAGGAATTGAAAAAAATTATGAAGATTCACCAAAAATAAAAAAACCCTTGGCGCGCCCGGGTCATATTAACAATTTTAATGTCAGCTACAGAAGTATGAGTTTTAATGCAGCTTAATAACCCGGGCGCACCAAGGGTTTTTTTATTTTTGGTGAATCTTCATAATTTTTTTCAATTCCTTGTATGTTTGGATTAAATTTTTTTTTAAATTTAATATAAAGTTAATAAGTTAACGCGCGTTATTTGCATTGCTGTTATTGTTAAAAATAATAATAACCGTGACAACCCAGTAAATAGTATCATATAACTCAGTGTTCTAATAAATAATGATAAATTTTGTAAAAATTTATGTTGTTGTCATCTTTTGTAGTTAGTTTTTCTTGAATTTTCTTGAATAATAACTTTAGAAACTTTAAACATTAAAAACTTTAAACTTTAAAAACTTTAAAAAGATATCTTTTTTAAATATTGGACACTATTAATAAACGTGTTAAATTTTTATAACACGGTATCATTTTTACTTGTAAAAACTTACGTTATGTACAAATAATAATAACCTTTAAAAAGATATCTTTTTTTAAATATTGGACACTATTAATAAACGTGCTAAATTTTTATAATACGATATCATTTTTACTTGTAAAAACTTATGTTATGTACATAATATACAGGGTGTTTGATAGCTGATCATGCAGACGAAAGATGGAGATAGATTGGGTGTAGCCGAGAAGAAAAGTCACATACCATAATGTCAAATTGGCAATAGTTACCGAGTTATTAATTAAAACATGTGAGCCAACGAGAGCGTAGAGAGCGGAGGACGGCCGCAGTAAGCACGTAGACATTTGATACAGGCGGAGTCAGCGAGTGACGGTAAGCGAGCGCGCGCGGCGAGGGGCAACGTAAGCGACAAGAGGCGATCGCGCGCGACGAGGAGCGAGCGAGAGCTTTTTCTTTATAGCTTTTTCCTTATAGCTCGCTCGCTCCTCGTCGTTCGCGCTCGCTCGCTCCTCGTCGCGCGCGTTCGCCTCTTGTTGTTTACGTTGCCCCTCGCCGCGCGCGCTCGCCTACCGTCACTCGCTGACTCCGCCTGTATCATGTCTACGTGCTTACTGCGGTCGCCCTCCGCTCTCTACGCGCTCGTTGGCTCACATGTTTTAATTAATAACTCGATAACTATTGGCAATTTGACATTATGGTACATGACTTTTCTTCTCGGCTACACTCAATCTATCTCCAACTTTCGTCTGCATGATCAGCTATCAAACACCCTGTATACTCTCTCACTTTCTCTCTCTCTCTCTCACTCTCTTCCACTCTCTCTAGCTCTTCCTCATTCTCTTTCATTCTTTCACTCTCTCACTCTCACACTTTCTCTCACTCCCAAAACTCTCTCACGCTCTCTCACTCTCCCACTCTCTCTCTCTCTCTCTCTCTCTCTCTCTCTCTCTCTCTCTCTCTCTCTCTCTCTCTCTCATTCTCTCTCATTCTCTCTCATTCTCTCTCATTCTCTCTTATTCTCTCCCATTCTCTGTCATTCTCACTCATTTTCTCTCTCACTCTCACTTTCTCTCATTCCCAAACCTTCTCACATTCTCTCACTTTCCCTCTCCCATTCTCTCATCCTCTCTCATTCTCTCCCATTCTCTCTCATTCTTTTTCATTTTCTCATTCTCTTTCTCTCTCTCTCTTTCTAATAAAAATCACTCTCACTCTCTATCTTCCTCTCTCTCTCTCTCTCTCTAGCTCTTTCTCACTCTCTCATTCTCTCACCCTTTCAACCCCTCACTCTCACATTTTCTCTCACTCCCAAATTCTCTCACGCTCTCCCTCTCTCTCTCTCTCTCTCTCTCTCTCTCTCTCTCTCTTACTCTCTCTCATTCTCTCCCATACTCTCATTTTCTTTCATTCTTTCTCATTCTCTCCTATGCTCGCCCATTCTGTCATTCTCTCTCATTTTCTCTCTCACTCTCACACTTTCTTTCACTCCCAAACTCTCTCAAGCTCTCTCACTCTTCCACTTTCTCTCACTCTCAATATCTCTCATTCTTTTCCATTCTCTCCCATTCTCTGCCATTCTCACTCATTTTCTCTCTCACTCTCACACTTTCTCTCACTCCCAAATCCTCTCACGCTTTCTCACTCTCCCTCTCTCATTGTCTCATTTTCTCATTCTCTCTTTTTCTAATAAAAATCATTATTTTATTATTTATTTTTATATTATATATATTTATTATAAATACATTATTTATAAATACATATCGCATTCGCTGCTATGTGCTTCTTCAGCGCTCTCGTAGGGATGCACGCATAGCCCCACTCCTTTGCGTCCGACATTTCTTTTTTATCTTATTACTGAGTCGAAATTTTCTTTTGTTAATATATCGGGTCATGATTAGGGACAGGAGTTGAATATGTACTCTCGAATCTTAATAAACTCAGTAGTTAAGTATCATCACACTAAAATTAAATAATATCTTATCGATCATTATCAGTTCGCGTTTTACATAATTGTAAAAGATTTATTACGATCAAATGTACAACAAAGTAAATATCAAATGGTATCAAGGCGAAATATAGGATTGGAACTTTTTGAGATATATTCAAATCGATGTTATTTGAAATCATTTTATTTATTCACAACATGTATATGTATATTTTTACTCTGATATTTTTATGTTTCGAGATGTCCATAAAAACTTGAACATATTTCAAAAAGTTCCTTTATCTACATATGCAAAAAATCTCTATTACTACAATTTTACAAAATTGGGCCGACAAATGAAAATGTAAAATTTAATTAAAAATAGAGAGGCATACAAATCAGGCAGTGCTAATTTCCTTTCTAATATTTCAGCTGTATGTATTCGCTTGATGCACCATTTATACGTGTAAAAGTCCATATAATATATATATTAAAGAAACTCCATTTCTCGCTCGATACCGACGAATTTTAATTGTTCCGTTGGTCCATATCTGAAAATTATCGCATGATTTTAATTGTTTGCAATTAATAAATTAAACAAAACATTACAGCAACATACCTATAGTCAAAAAATAATTCTTCACCAGGTTGAATCGCTCTCTTAGCAAAAATACCTATTCCATGTTCACCGTTCACCATCATCACTTTTGCATAACAATTTGGATTTATCGAGTGATTAGCGAACTTTATTTTATTCCCTTTCCGTATCGCGTCTATAACAAAATCTGAAACCGACCAAAAACTTTTAAGTTTTGTTATTTTTCAACATTTAATTAACCACTATATCTATCTCTACTTACCATTGTTAAGATTAAAAAGGAAACTTATATTTATCATATACTTTTCCCCGCCTGTCAGCTTCGTCTTGACTGATAATTTCGCTGCAATATTCCTAGATGAATTCATTCTTCGCTGCTGATATTTCAAATTGTATAAAGTATATTTCAAATCAAAAATTCTACTCATTGAGATTATACTCATTGATTTTCACTGTAATAAATTAAATTTTTCGAAACTTATAAAGACCACGTTGCACGCTGACATTTTTGCAAGATTTAGAATTAATTTGGAAATGATCTGCACCATACATTTGGCAAAGATCCGGATCACATTCCCTGACAGCCAGATAACAAGGACACTGATTTGTATTGCATTGCGCTTTGCACCTACACTCAGGAAATCTGTTCTGGCATTCGCTGCTGCACTGATAAAACTTCTCGCAGAAGTTTTGTGCTTGTATACATGGGCATAAATTATCACACTGACAGCCGGGATGATCACAAGGTGCAAAATTGTGCACGTGATTAGCACCTATTCATTCAAATGAAACGTATGAATTAGAGGCAAATAAGATGAGGGGATAGTATAAAATTTAACATACCCGAGTCCTTCTTAAGTTGTATTTTCCGGCAATGCATAGACCACAACCAATGCTTTTTTTCTTTTTTCGCGGCGGTGTGAAGTCCTTGAGATTTTCTATAGTAGGAATATCCGAAGCTTCTTTCTGCGCAAATTCGTAAACTTCCTTGCATGTTTTTGGTAATAATCATTTTTGTTAAAAATCATACTTCTTAATTAATCACTGATATTTAATAAAAAAATATCTTAATCAATCACTAATGTATCCCGATGATGACGATGCACTGATTTTGCGTGCTTAATGTATATATTTTTAATCAATCACTGATGTTTAATCAAAAAAATCCTAATCAATCACTAATATATAGGGTGGGTGGTTATAAGTTTACAATCTGAAGTGTACAGGTAGATTACATTAAGACAAACATAAAAGTCCCATACCGTTTACCGAGATTCGCAATAATTATCGAGTTATTAGTGACAGAAATCTTGAAGAGTGGGAGCGCGCCGGCATAGATGTTTGGAGAAACGTTGAAGCTGCTCAAGCTACGGCGCGGCCCACTCGGCCCAGCAACTGTGGGCGGCGTGCGGCGAGACGTAATTCCGACGAGATAAAACAACGAATAGCGGCGCGTTGTCCTTTCCCTCGTCTTCCCGCTATGTCGGCGCGCTTCTACTCCTCAGATTTCTGTCATTAATAACTCGATAATTATTGCGAATCTTGCAACACGGTATGGGACTTTTATGTTTATCTTAACCCAGTCTACCTTCACACTTCGGGTTGGCAGCTTATAACCGGCCACCCTATAAATGCGCGTTTTCGTCACGCGTTCTCCTCGCGTAGATGATTATCGGTGCTATCCTTTCCACACCACCTAGCGGTAGATAGCATGGCGCGTTTTTTTTATAGTGGTATCCTCAGGAGGCCTAATCCACTGTACATTAATGTATTAATGTAAAAACTGCTCGAAATGCCGTCCTTCTTCTCGCATACAAAATTTGGCTCTTCGTTTAATATCGCGCGTTGCTCGGTGCTTTATTTCCGGCGTGATAGTATTGAAGGCCGCGACAATTGCCTCACGTACTTCTTGTTCTGTACCATCACGCCGCTGTTCGATTAAATTCTTAACGTGACCCCATAAGAAATAATCGAGCACATTAAGGTCAGGAGATCGCGGCGGCCAGGTGATCGGACCACCTCGACCTATCCACCTTTCCGGGAAACGCGTATCTAATATATCTCGCACTTGCCGGCTAAAGTGCGCAGGAGCTCCATCATATTGAAAGATCAACTCCGCTCGTGCCTGTAGAGGGACATCCTCGAGTAGCCCTGGGAATTGATTTTTGATAAAATCGGCGTAAATCTCGCCATTAAGCCGAGGTGGCAAAAAGTACGAACCGATCTGAAAATTATGAAATATTAGAAAATCATTGCGAGAAAAAAGTTTCTTCAATCGAATGATACTCACCACTCGGTCCGCAATTACTCCGGCTCAAACATTAATACTCCAGCGGTACTGGAACGCGCCTTCTCGAACGGCGTGTGGATTTTCCTCCTGCCACAATAGGAAAATCCACACGCCATTCGAGAAGGCGCGTTCCAGTACCGCTGGAGTATTAATGTTTGAGCCGGAGTAATTGCGGACCGAGTGGTGAGTATCATTCGATTGAAGAAACTTCTTTCTCGCAGATTTTCTAATATTTCATCATTTTCAGATCGGTCCGTACTTTTTGCCACCTCGGCTTAATGGCGAGATTTATGCCGATTTTATCAAAAATCAATTCCCAGGGCTACTCGAGGATGTCCCTCTACAGGCACGAGCGGAGTTGATCTTTCAACATGATGGAGCTCCTGCGCACTTTAGCCGGCAAGTGCGAGATATATTAGATACGCGTTTCCCGGAAAGGTGGATAGGTCGAGGTGGTCCGATCACCTGGCCGCCGCGATCTCCTGACCTTAATGTGCTCGATTATTTCTTATGGGGTCACGTTAAGAATTTAATCGAACAGCGGCGTGATGGTACAGAACAAGAAGTACGTGAGGCAATTGTCGCGGCCTTCAATACTATCACGCCGGAAATGACGCACCGAGCAACGCGCGATATTAAACGAAGAGCCAAATTTTGTATGCGAGAAGAAGGACGGCACTTCGAGCAGTTTTTACATTAATACATTAATGTACAGTGGATTAGGCCTCCTGGGGATACCACTATAAAAAAAACGCACCATGCTATCTACCGCTAGGTGGTGTGGAAAGGATAGCACCGATAATCATCTACGCGAGGAGAACGCGTGACGAAAACGCGCATTTATAGGGTGGCCGGTTATAAGCTGCCAACCCGAAGTGTGAAGGTAGACTGGGTTAAGATAATCATAAAAGTCCCATACCGTGTTGCAAGATTCGCAATAATTATCGAGTTATTAATGACAGAAATCTGAAGAGTAGAAGCGCGCCGACATAGCGGGAAGACGAGGGGAAGGACAACGCGCCGCTATTCGTTGTTTTATCTCGTCGGAATTACGTCTCGTCGCACGCCGCCCACAGTTGCTGGGCCGAGTGGGCCGCGCCGTAGCTTGAGCAGCTTCAACGTTTCTCCAATCAACTATGCCGGCGCGCTCCCACTCTTCAAGATTTTTGTCACTAATAACTCGATAATTATTGCGAATCTCGGTAAACGGTATGGGACTTTTATGTTTGTCTTAATGTAATCTACCTATACACTTCAGATTGTAAACTTATAACCACCCACCCTGTATATCCCACTGATGACGATGCACCGATGTTGCGTACTTAACCCACCATTTCTTCCCAATGTTGCGTATACGCAACACGAAGTTTAACTTCACAAAATGCAGTCAAAATGAATTTATTTCCCAATTAGTCTAACACTTCGTGAAAAAAAATAATTACTGATAATTAATTATATAAACTTCGTGTTGCGTATACGCAACATTGGGAAGAAATGGTTATGCATGTATACTACTATTCAGCGCTCTCGTAGCGCCCCTGGTGTCGGAAAAACGAGAAGCACAAATCCCCTCTTCTCGGCGGTCTAGCGTTTCTTTCTTTCTTACTTTCTTACTGAATTGTAATTTTCCATGATTCAGACTTTATCTTAAAATATCTTCACTTAGAGACAACGTACACAAAAAGCACTAGAACACTTTTCTTCCTATTTTTGGAGGCCGAATCGATTGGGACTAAAAAAACGTCGATCGGTTCAGCCATTGCTGAGATATAAAAATCTCACCTCACTTCAACTCGCAGTTTCGCGTATAATAGGCACGGTGTGTCTCTTGAAACCACCCAAAAAAAAGAATTTAATCACTGCACGATATTCTATTTTTTCCATTTTAAAAAAGACAATGACACGTCAATATTAAACTGGTGCTACTACTCGAATGACTTGGCAGATCGAAATAAAATTTTATATGGGTTTATATCAGGGATGCCACTTTCCAATACAATTATAGTTTGACAGTTTTTAATGCCATCTATGTGTCAGGTCGAGAAGTTTTCAAACTGCCCTCGTATATATATATGTACATACTATAAAACCTCATGAATTCCAACGGACGTACTTCATTGTGAACTTCCGCTAAGCTATCAATAAAATGAGCAATTTGTAATTATAATGCAATCACATTTTCCTACTAATTATTCTCAATAAAAATTCTCCCTTCCCTGAACCGCTCGCTCACGGTCTTATCTCAGGTAAAAGGAATCAATTCCCTGACCTTAATAAAGGATCACCGACGTACGTCCGCGCCAGATAAAAGGGTCATTCCGATACTTGAACTGCATCGCAAACTTGCGAGTACGTCCGAGCTTGTGAAAGCAAGCGTCCAGTTAAGTTCCTCCTCCGGACGGGACAATACTCCTATAAATTTCAATCTAATATCTTAAATCAGAAGTTAATTCAGAAGTTACTAGGTGCGCAACTAAGTTTCCGGGTTTTTTTGATCGATGAAAAATGGAAAATTTCAAGAGAAATACAAAAAATGGTTTATTCAAAGTATTCGTCCCTCGCTAGCTACACATTTTTGCCATCTCTCTGGCAATACATGAATACTGCGACGATAAAACGACGCGTCTTTGGACCGAAACTATTCACCCAACCAATTTTGCATTTCTTCGAAATTGGCCAAGTGTTGCCCAGCCAAGCCATGCGCGATCGACCGGAACAAGTGATAATCGGAAAGGGCCAGGTCTGGCGAATACGGTGGGTGCAGTAGCAGATCCCATTTCAGCGTTTTGATGGTGTCCTGGACGATGAAAGTGCGATGGCACGGAGCGTTGTCGTGCTGCAATATCACTCGTTCGTGTCTCATGTCCCATTCTGGCCGTCTTTCGAGCAATTCATGGTTCAAATTGATCAGTTGTTGTCGATAGCGATGCCTATTGACAGTTACGCCTGGTTTCAGCACCTCCTAGTACACGATTCCTTTCTGGTCCCACCAAACGCAGAGCATTGTCTTCTTTCGGAAGCGATTTGGCCGTGCCGTCGATGCTTCGCCAGGTGAAAGCCACGATTTTTTGCGTTTGAGATTCTCGAAATATATCCACTTCTCATCGCCAATAACAATTCGATGTAGGAAACTCTTTCTTTCATGCCGCAAAAGCAAAATTTTGGAAGTGGCTCTTCGATTTTCCATCTGTCTCTCAGCCAACTCATGCGGGACCTATTTTCCTTCCTTTTGAATTTTTCCCATGGCATGTAAACGTTTGGAAATACCTTGGCGAGTCATGTTTAATGCCTCCGCAAGTTTATCTTGTGTTTGCGTATCATCTTCATCCAATAAAGCTAGCAGATTGGCATCCTCAATTATTTTTGATCTTCCGGAGCGCTCCTTGTCCTCAGTGTCGAAATCACTATTTCTGAAGCGTTTAAACCAATCTTCACAGGTAGTTTTCGATAGTGCATGTTCGCCGTAGGCTTCCTCAAGCAAACGACGTGCTTCAGCTGCATCTTTTTTCAAGTTAAAGCAGAAAAGCAAAGCTTCCCGCAAATGCTGTTTATTTGGCACAAAACTCGACATCTTTGTTATTAGAAAAAATATTTTTGCGTTGCAATATGTATTACGACTGGTTATTATTAACAGATGTCCAAACTA